AAATACCGTTGTCTGTTGATAGAGGTCGGAAGGACCATAGTAGGTGACGGAGGTCAGAAGGATTGTAGTCGGCAGGAGACCGAGGTCAGAAAGACCGTTGTTTATTGATGGAGGTCGGAAGGACCATAGTAGGCTATAGAGGTCAGAAGGGCCGTATTCGGCAGGAGACCGGGGTCAGAAAGACCGTTGTAGTAGGGCGGCACTATGGTAGAACTTTTGACGTTAGGTGGTGGCCCAGCAGAAGTCTGGGCCTCAGGTGGTATCTTGGTGGAGCACAGGGCCTCAAGTGGCGGTTCGGCAGAGGTGACTGCCTCAAGTGGTGGTTCGGCGAAGCAACGACGTCAGGTGGTGGTTCGGCGGAGGTGAGAGCCTTAAGTGGTGGTTCGGTAGAGGTGAGGGCCTCAAGTGGCGGTCCGGTGGAGCAACGGTGTCAGGTGGTGGTTCGGAGTAGGGGTGTCAATTTCGGGTCACGGGTCGGGTTCGGGTCGAACCCGAACTGACCCGGGTGGAAAACGGGCGGGTCCGGGTCGGGTCTGGGTCGGGTCCGGGTCGGGTTTTCGTGTCGTGTCAAAAATTGACACCCCTAGTTCAGAGGAGGCGAGGGCCTCAAGTGGTGGTCCGGTTGAAGTCTGGCGGTGGTCGAGGAGGAGCTTCTTCCTTCTCTTCCTTCTCTTCTTCCTTCTTATATTTTTTCTTGGATCTCCTTTCAAGAGAAAAGAGGGGTCTATTTATAGATTTTTGGAGTGGCATGACCCGTAAATAGATGAGAGATCAAGGGTAAATGGGGAGTGGTTGGATGGACGACCAATATTGAATCCCTTGATCATGCACCGTTTGTCAGATATTTGAAGGCCATAATGATGTCAGAATTCATTGATCTTGGGATCGTTGGATTCGTCTCGTCGAGCCGCTCAATTTGATTATAAGCACGTCATGTTTGAAAACCATTTAGTAACCCAAATTGTGGTTTGAACCTTCTAACATCGCTTCAGGTCCTTGATTTGGACTCATTTAGGCTCAGATTCAGTCGAATTTGGTGTCGTTGGGTTCGTATTTCCAAGATGTTCAGTTCGACTGTAAGTTTACTGAAATTGGAGTTTGGATGGCCCCAATTTTAATTTTGAAAGTTTCTAACTTGATTTTGCATCGAGATTCGTGCCCAATAAAGATAATTTTTTGAGGACGTATCAAAGATATAACATTTTCTTATTGGTCTCATCTAACTTAAGTGAACCACACCATTTATCTAATAGTTTGATTAAATTTTAAGTCATTAATTTATATATTTTATTTTATCCTAAATTCATTTTAAACTTGCTTCATAATACTTATTTATTTTATTTACTAATAGTATTTCAAGACAAATACTTTTCATTTAATATGAAGACTAAATATTTTGCTACATACTAATTTACATTTTAAAACATAGAATAATTGGAAAGATGCCAAAATTCAAAGTTTTAGAATGGATTTGGTGTGTCCTTTTTTCCAAGCAAATGTAGTTTATATTTCCAAGCAAAATCATTTGATGCACAGATACGAATACAACATAACATGGACATGGTATACATCAACTATTAAAAATATAGGACACAAACACGGGTTGTACATTGAATTATATTTTTTATTTGAGTAAGTAGAATATTAAAAATAATTGAGAAATAATAACTCTTTTGACATGGATTAATAATGCTTAAAATGATTCATATTAGGATGTCGAGAGTTAGATATTGATATCGTGTTTCACGTATTGAGAGGGGAGATAACAACATTGTAAAGAGTCGAACATTGAAATTGTACAATGTGCATCAAACTTTTATGTCGTGATTGTGTTGCGTGTCTATGTTGAGACGGTGTTGGAAAAAGATAAAATATTGAGACAACAGGAGAGCATGAATATAGGTGTAGAACTTAGTGGCATAAAACTTTGATTTTGAGATAGTTTTGAAACATGGATGTTGTGACTGCTTTGGATGTTAACGTTGCAATGGCAATTAGACATTGTTGTGAAATCTTAGTCGTGATCTGTTAGAGAGAAATGAAAATGAGAATATTCAAATAGTGTGATATTGAGTGTGAGAAATCCATTTGAGGCTATTAAGAGAGAATAAGAAATTTAAAGTCTACTCATTTTTGTTTGGCCATAATGCAGTATGGGTGAGATGGTGATGACCTAATATAATGTGACTATTACAATGCATCAAACTACATCAAGTCGATATGATAGACCAAATTATTCAATATTTTCATTATAACCTAATTTTTTATTCTTAACTTTAAAAACGTTTTCATTGAATGATTGTGCCAGAATAGGAGACCGTATTATAATTCTACATTAAGAATATATAAAAATATGGTTGCTATATTATCTTATAATTTCAATATGGAAATGTGTCAATCATACCAAAGAAGTCAAATATGATATAGAGGGTCAAAAGGGTGCATGTTTCAAACTCTCATGCCAATATAAACCAATACAAATATATGTAAGTGATGAAAGTTTTCTTATGTTATTGTGCATGCATGTGTGCGCAATAGTCATATGAAAATAATATGCAAATTAGTATGCATTAATCCAATAAAATGTGACTTGTAATAAATATACTTATTACATGGTAAGTTATATTCAATAGATGGGCTTTCTTAGGTCTAGACAAGGCCATGATGCAGTATGGGTGATTGTAGATAGATTGATAAAGTCTGCTCAATTTTTGTCAATGAGGCATATTGATTCTGCATGTTGACAAGTTGGCCCAGCTATATGTGAAGGAAATTGTTAAATTGCATGGAATTGCTAAGATTATTTTTAGGATCAAGATGACAAGTTTATCTCGAAGTTGTGGAGAGGTATTCAGGTTGGGTCAGGAGATGCAATTATATTTCAATATAGCTTTTTAGCCTGAAATGAATAGAGTTATTATTAGATTTTGGATTATTATTAAAACTTTGTATTTTTTATTTTTGGTGGAAGTTGAAAAGATCACATACCCTTGATTGAGTTTCCCTATTATAACAACTTCTAGGCCAGTGTTGGTATGACCTCTTATGAAGCTCGCTCTATATAGAAGAAGGTGCAAGACACCGTTGTCTTGGGTTGAGCTTGGAGAAAAAGGTTGTTTGGATCTGAACTGATAAATAGTGCTATTGAGAAGATCATACTGATTAGAAAAAGATTGGAATTAGCTTAGGAAAGAAATACTAAATATTTTGATCATAAGCATAAGTTTGTAGAATTTCAAGTGGGTAACATTGTGTATATGAAAATCATCCCAATGAAGGGTGTAAGTAGCTTTGAAAAAGCTAATAAGTTGAGTCTGCGATATATTGGACCACTTGAAGTAATTGAGCAGATCAAGAATTCTGCTTACGGATTACTTTTGCCTGACCATATGTCCAAAATCTGCTCACGAATCAGGAAATTTGCTTAATTGGCGGCGCCACGACATAAGTTTTAATAGCCTGGAAGAGTTGCACATGTTAATCTATTTATTAATTAACTAGAGCTTCTATGAATTCATCAATATAAATCAATACAACATAAGAAATTAAAAATCATATATATCAAAATATAAAATTTAGGTAGAAGCTGTAGATCAATCATTTTATTCATTTCAACTTTCTAATTTTCCAACTACAAAAGAATAAAGTAAGAGAAAATGCAGAAAAAAATCTGAATTTCTGATATGTCCTAACTCTACAAAATCTTGACCATTTTTTTGAAAACATGTAAAATCACATAATAAGCTAGCAGCTAGCTAGAATAGAGTCAGTAAATAAAACAAGCACGAAATTTCAACTCAATCAAGCCAAAATTGAGAGCCCTTATAAATCCTTATAGAAGAACACTTTAGTTCACAGAACTCAAATATATTTGTTATTTTATTTAATAATGAAAGAGCTATTGCTTGAAATATGCGAATCTAACTAGAAAAAAGAAAATGCCAAAAGAAAATATATAACATGCTTTCTAAATCTTCAGCAAACTTCAACAGACTTTTTTTTTTTTTCCTAAAGAATAGATGGGCTTGGCGGATTTAACCTGCTTTAGCGAGCTCCCGGCCGAGCACGCAGGCCGGCAATTAATTAATTAATCACGTAATTAGCCCATTTAGCAACATTAATCCAAACATTTATATATGAATGCCTGCAATACGATATTATATTTAATTGAAAGTAAATCCTATATGTGTTTTTCTTTGGAGTTTTAAATATCGCAAACATATTTTTTTTTTAAATAAATTTGGGTTTTGCTTAAGTCAACAGAATTCTAGCTAACTTCATCTCCATCTTAATATAAAATTATAATTGCTTTATTTCCAATCAAATATTAATAAATAAAAATTTTAAAATTTATTTTACAAACTTTTAGTGAAGAATAAGGCTTCGTATGGGATGGCTTTTTTATTATTTTCTAAAACGGAGTTTTAGTACAAAATTAAAAAATTTTGTACTAAAACTTCGTTTTATAATGCAATAAAAGAGCAGTCCCAAACGAAGCCTAAGGCTTCAATTGGGATAGCTTTCTTTCTGCTTTTGTTTTTCAGATTATAATCATAATTTGATAATTATTTGGTCCCTGTTTTTTGGCTGTTTTTAAAAAAAAATTTTGCTAGAAAGTTATTATCTACATTAATATTAAAAAATCACTTTCTACACAACAATTTTATAATCACTTTTCTGAAAAATTATAGCTGTCCCAAACTTATCCAAAGTCTCCTCCATCGATTCAAATTTTTAGTATTAATACTTTTCAAAATCGCGTTTGGAATAAAAAAAGGGCTTTGCCGTCGGACCAATTGCTTTTGTGGATAAGCGTCTGCTCGCTTAATCAGCACATTTGGCAACAAACATGCATTTATGACAAATTTATACCGTTAAATCATTACAAAATTAAAATCTGTTGAGGCTGGCCTGTGCTCTTCTTATTTACTATAAAAAGAGCAAAAACTACTCCATCGTATAGCTCAAAATACTCCATATATTACAGTTACAGCACAGCCATGACATCAATGAAGAATAGTCCCTCATCAGCTGCTAAATCATCAATCCTTCTGTCCTTGGCAGTTCTGCTACTCCTCAATGCTCCGGCGAGCTGCTCATCAGAGTCCTTCAACAATGTGTTGAGCTCTGGCTACCCATTAAACGCCGGATGTTCGCTCGTTCAAGGCAAGTACAACTTCACCATGCAATACGATTGCAATCTGGTGTTGTACGAGAGCGAGGTTGCCATCTGGTCGTCGCAAACCGACGGCAAGGGCAGTAACTGCTCCCTCGTTTTGCAAAACTATGGCGAGTTGTTCATCAGCACGGCGGCTGGCATCATCGTGTGGAGAAGCGAGACAGGAGGGGAGTACGGACACTTCGTTCTTGTTCTTCAGCCAAACGGCGATGTGGTGGTTTACGGCGACGCTGTGTGGTCCACCGGCACGTATAGAGCTCCCATTGCAATCTCTGGTGACAAACCATAGGAGAAGAGTGGCTGACTGATTATATAATAATGGATCATCATATCCAACAAGAACTGCTTGATTTACTTATTTCTTTCGTATAAAGAGCTTAATTGAAGCGTGCAATTGTATGCATGTTTTGCTAAGAGAAATGTTGGTTTGTTATCTATGTTATGTTGTTTGCTTCGAAATTAAGATATATATAGCAAGTTGTCATTGAATTGGATTTCCTATTTATATTCCATTTAATGCATGGTGTTGAATTGTTTATGCAAGGAAAGATAATGAGATTGCCAATTTACTATCAACTCTCATCTTTGTAATTGTAGCTTCAAATCGAGGGAGACATATTTCTTGATCTCCTTAGTCAAATTAATAGCATGATGGTGTCATAATATATATAGTATACTCTACAAGTCGCTAGAGAAGGTCACAACTTGGATTGCCACATAGATTACATACCACCTGAATTGAAAATAAGGCTTCATTTGGGACGACTTTCTTGCTGCTTCTTAAAGTGGTTTTTTAGTAAAAAATTAATTTTTTTTCTAAAAAACTTTTTTAAGAAGCAGTTAAAAAACCATTCTAAACAAATCCTAAATTTTTTATGCTTCTTTATTCTTCTTTATCTGCTCCCTATTCTTTAAAAGAACACCATAAAGTTAAAATTATTGGATTAAGCGTGTAAGAATCCATTAGGGATTGTAACTCAGATATGAAGAAGAATCCACTCAATAAAATTTTGAAGTGTCTTTTTTGGCTCTTTTTTGTATCATTTTGATTTATGGATGATCATACATATGATAAAGATCTTATGTATGATCAATCTTTTGAGGTTGTAAATTCTCTTATTTATATACTATATAAAGAGTTACACTCTAAGGCAAAGGTTCTTGAAGCAATTTAATTTTTAATTTGTGTAAGGCCACTTATTAATTAACACTATCATTGCCAGGTCCTAAGTCCTGGATGAAAAAAGTGGAGGGTTGCGTTAGGTAGTCGACAGCCAGTGTAAAACTTATCGAACAATAATGACAGTGGGATAAAGGCTTGATGTTGATGTTGTTGTTGTTGTTGTTGTAAGGCCACTTACTATCCTCGTTATTGGCTAATTGAAATATGAACATATGGTGTAAAATAATGTAAAATTTCTACGTGCTTTGCTGAGTATTGGCCTATTGTATATGTTGAGCATTTTCTGTGTTAGTTTTGAGTGGAATCTAATTATGTCAATCAATCGGGTTATATTATTGATTTTGATCTCACTTTTGTTGGTCAAGTTCGTTGGGAGGTTTCAAGGGTGCCTCCCCTTTCTTGGGGTACATGGTCCTTGCCCTAATGTTTTTTGTACAACCATATAGCATCATGGCGCTACAAATTATAGCAATGTAGTATTGTATATTCTTGTGATGCAATATCATAGGTTGTAGTGCAACGGTGCTGCAATCTTGACTGTAGACAAATTAGTTGTGATGCTTTATAGCTAAGACAATGGCTCTGTGAATCAGGAGGGTCAAAGAGTAGATCACTGCGATCCTCCAAACCCCAGCTCCAAGGTGTTTTGAGTCAAGCTAGGCACTCAGTTTTATTCCCATCATTTTTCATGTTTAACTTGAAGGGTTGCATTCCTTTATATTATAGATATATTCTCATTGTTAGTTCTAATATGGAACAATTTAAAGAAGAGAAGTGAGATAATGTGTTTTGGATAGCTTTCTAGCTACTTTACTTTTTTTGGACAACAACTAAAATTTTCTTTGGCTACTATTTTGTTGCTATTTAATTTCTCACAGCTTTTCAGAAATTTTTGTGGTGGAAAATAGCTTTTTGTAACCATAGTAGTGAAATTGTTTTCTCCACATCAACTTCACCATCAACTTTATAAAATGATGCAGCTATCTCAAATAGATAATTAGGTTTGAGACAATTTTTTTACTGCTTTCTACAACAATTTTCAAGCACAAAAATTTTCTACATGGTTTGCTTAGTTTTGGTCTTATTGTTTCTATCTTGTGCATTGTTCGTCCCATTAATGAAATTTTCTTTCTTTCTTTTAGATCTAATCAACACCCAATATTATCATTTTTTAATTATAAGAATTATTTTTCCTTTATTTCCTTAATAATCTTTATTGATTTCATTATCATATTTACTAACTTACACTATTATTTTGTTTATTTTTATCTCACTTTTGATTTACGTGATATAGCAAGGAAGTCATGGAGTTTCTTAATGTAAATAAAAATTCAATAATTGTCATTTTATTTTGAATCATGCGTAGGAATGGAGTATATTGGCGCCTAATTAGGGGTTTGCTTGGGTTAGCTTTTGATCACTATTTTTTTTTTTCTTCTTTTAAGAAATTTTTAAAGGTGCTTTCAATAGAAACCTAAAAGGGGTTCTAGCTAGAGAAATCTATTTATTTATAACATTTTAAATGAAAATAATTTAAATTCTTTGGTGTTGTGCAAAATTTAATTTTTTTTTTATGATCTACTTATTGATATGTCGCAAAAAATTGTCTTGATCGGGTACAAATCTTGATGCAAATTTGAATTAGAAGCATCCAAAGTTAAATTCGGTACCATCCAAACTCCAATTCCATCAAACTTATAGTCAAATTGATCCTTTCAAGGAGAAGAACCGAATGACACCAAATTGGGTCTAATCCAAGCCCAAATTTGCCCAAATCAAATGACCAAAACACATTTGAAAGCTTTTAAGTAGTAATTTGATGATCAAATGCTATCCAAATATGACGTGCTTACAATCGAAGCGAGCAGCTCGACGAGACAAATCTAACGAGCCCAAGATCACTCAATGATGACATTGCTATGACACTTAAATACTCGTTGAATGCACCATGATCAAGGGAATCAATATGGGTAGTCCGATGGAACACTCCGAATTAGCTCAAGATCCTCTTCATTTTTTTTTGAGCTTGTCACTCACAAAAATTTATAAATAGGATCTAGAAGAATGAAAGGAGAAAATTAGAGAGCTATGTTGTATTTTCCAGTTGTCGCCGTCGCTGCTGAATCTCCTTTACGGCTGCCACCACTAGGTCTATTCCTGACCAACAACCATCGATCTACTTTTGCTTGGCCGCTGAACACCTCCTGGTCTCTTCTCGATCAACAACCATTGCCGAACTTCCGCCTGCCCGTTGATTAACATTGGGTCTCCTCCTGAATTAGGTTGCTGTTGGATCTCTTCCCTACCGCTAATCGTCATCAAAACTCCTTTTGACCAATAGGTTGCGCATGCTCCATTATCATACTTCTACTGAACCTTCCCCTTTGGTGTCACCACTAGACTTTGATATTCATCGCTCGATCATTATCATTGTAAATTCCTGAGTACCCTTGTGAAAAGTGGCCCATTCTTTAATCTGTTATAATTTTATCATCTTCAAGTTACGGGGTGGGTCGATCTTTATAATTTATACAAATATATTGGAATTTTCTTCTGGGCAAGGCCTCATGGGATTTCTCTCTTTGGGTTTTCCTTGTAAAAATTCTTAGGTAGTAAATAATAGAGGTAGCAGCAATTAATGAGTTTATTAGCCAGGCCATGCATGTTACACCCAGTTTTTTTAATAAGAATAATCTGTTAATGTATTTACATGAATTAATTAAGCAGTCCGATCCAATATTATCTCCACATAATATGCCAAATACAGTACTGTCCATCATAATGATAATTATCACAAATGCAACTTCAAATCTCTTTTTTTATCTTTGAATGTTTTAGCAAATACTTTTACTGGCCTAATATCACAATGTTCTGACTCATTACTGCAACAATCTGATCCAGCGCCGCAGCGCTGCATGTTGAATTCAAAATTATTCTATAATAGAGCCTCTAATGCCACAGAAGTGATTTTTGGTGCCGCTGTGCTCCCAAGCCTAGTGGCATAATGCCAAAGCTCTACAGTTCAAAAATAAATTTAAATTTTTATTTTAAAATATTTTTCATATTTTGAGGTTGTTACACAAAGTATGTTGAAGCTTCATGCCTAATAAATCAAAATCAATGTTAGACATTATGAAATGTTTAAGAAAATGATAGTAAGTAATTTGAAAAAAAAAAAATCATAAAAAAAAATCATAAAAAACCAACACAAACAACACATGACAAATCTTATAAATAACGAGTTTGGAGCAATCAAATAAAACAAGCACCAAATTTCAACTCAACCAAACTAACGTTGGGAGCAATAAAACCTCATAGAAGAACACTTCAGTTCACAGAACCCTAATATATTTGTTACTTTGTCTAATAATGAAGGGGCTATTGGTTGAAATATACGAACTGCCTAGAAAAAAAGCCTTAAGAAATTCAACTTCATTTTCTAGCTTAATGATTTTCTCAAGATCAGAACATACATACATGGGTGATCCTAGGTCAGCCTAGAGTTGGCAAATGCTCACCCTAAAAGTAAAAGCCTAGAGAAAGGATAAATTTGAAACTTTGACCCCCCTAAAAAAAAAATTATTTTTTGCCATAATGCCCTGCTTATTTGTCCTAGCCCCTCACTTTTCCTCCACTTCCTTCAATTCAGCCAGGTGCGCTCTTCGAAGGCTCCAAATTGCAGTCTGCGAGGATGGCGACTTAGTTCCTGCACAAGTTCTGGATGTCGAATGGGAGGAAGAGGGAAGGAGGTGAGGGCTTCAGGATTTAGCAGATATGTTGGGACCGTATGCAGGGAGTTTGGTGGGTTGGCGGAGGCGAGGGCTTCAACATATATTAACATAAGGTGGATGGTTTCACGATAACCCGTAATACTCCCGGTCTCAATTACTATCTATTTTAAAGAAATTTGTGTTGATATTTCCTTTTAAAATGATGTTATTTTTATATGAAGGGATGTCGAATTTGAGAGAAAAGTCTTCTTTATAAAACAACCAAAGTATTCATCACAATCACACATAAAACTAATTGTTTTAATAAGTTGTAACTCAGCAGAATGTAAGGCAATGCAACATTTTAGCTTAATGACTCATTAGATCTTTTTATTT